AATTGAAAAACATGAAGGAAAGGCTTATTTCGGACTTCTTTGAAGTCAAACTTGACTCACAAGTACTGTAGTAAAGTTTTTTTATAATTATTATTTTTGAAAAGCCTTCTGTTTAGAGAAAAATTTACGATTCCGAATCTTTTATGAAAGTGTTCCAGTTCTATTGATTCATTTCAAATTTTTCTGCCACCTTTCAGCTTCGAACTTTTCTCCAGTCCGAGAAATGTGAGATAAAGTGGCATTCTTTTCGACTGTTGCAAAAGAAAGTGCAATGTGTAAAATATTTGATTGAATACTGTTTTTGCGTTTCTTACAGGCAATGAATTACAAATTCTGAAACCTTCCACGGTTTTTTTTAGATATTATTCATTGTCATTTGTTTTGATCACGTTTGATTTCTGTGAGATGTATTATTCCAAAATAACGTTCGTCTCACACAATTAACCAAGTTAGTACGTCGTTGCATCTTTTCCTCTTGAATCTCGTTTCAGTTTTAAAATTGAATCAGAAAATGGAAAAGATCGTGGATTTCTTCAGGAGTTCTTGGTGTCTCTGACTTTAGCGACATTCCAAGTGAAATTATTTAGAAGCGTTTTTATAGTAGTGATATACCTTGAATTGCTCACATTTTTTCCCCATCCCGAAAATTGATCTTTTTCATAAAATTTTAGGACATCTTCATTCTCCTGGTAAACGAAGAAATTGATCGTCAAATCAGGAAAAAGGCTAGTTTTCTACTACTTTCGTGGGAATCCTTCATTTAAATCGTCGATTTCCTGTGATTCCGAGCCGAGGTTGATGAGGTTGTTGCTCATCATTTCGCGATTTCGAGTGGAACCGTTGTCATTGTGTCTGCGAAACAAGTGTGAGTCTAGTATATTTAATGACGCGTCAATTATGAACGAACCGCTATAACATTCTTGTTAATTAAAAGTGCGCGTCAAGTTCAGGCATATATCCGGAAACCGTCGCATTGAATTCGCATCATTGGAAAGGAGCAACGTTTAATTCGAGATGCGTTATCGAGTTGCTATTTTCCGAGTCTCGAATGTGGAGGTCAAGGGACTCGGTCTTTGTTGTTTTTTTTTTTTTACTGCCGCGGCTCAGTTGAGAGAAGCTGTCGGAATTACGCGAAGCACGAGCATAAAAATCTCGGCAAATTAATGAGATAATTAAAAGTTTAAAAGCCCGGAAGGTGAAGTGAAGCCAGGAAATGCTTTTTTTTTCTTCCACAGGCGAAAAAAAAAAATGTAGAGCCGATTTTTCCTTGACGTGGTCTAATTTACGGCGTAGTTGGCTTACAGTAGGAGGCCAAGAAGGAAATTCTTCAGAATCAACGGTTTTCTCAGAGCTTCCATCAGTTAATGAAGGTAGATTTCATGTGAATATATCTTGAGGGCTTATTTCTTTAAATATTGAGATAGACTTCATTTGGAATGAATGAATGTCAACTGAATACCAATATTGTCATTGAGTCCGGATGATAATTACTTTTTTCATTCCATATTTCCATACATTGAAAAATTTTGAAGATCGATGGAAATGAATCTTCTCCGCATTTTTAAATTTCTGGGTTTTAAAAAATCAACTATTCGAATCAAATGTCATGCGAGATGCTTTTCTTCATCCCTTTTGTATATCTTCAGTGTTGAAAATTGAACAAAAGTGAAAATTCGTAACTCGTTCGAATGGAAAATGTTACACAAACTAATGTCAGATATGCTTATTTTTTTAACGTTTCGTAATTGATCACATGTCGATGTTTCCCATACTTCTTGACAATAAAAAAAAGCTGGAGGAAAAAGCCTTTTCATATATCAGAAAAGAAAGTTTGTGGCATGTAAAGAAAACTAAATTGTAAATTACGGAAAATTGCCAAACGGAAAGTGTGATCATGAATATTCAGCGTTGCCCCCGGATCATGAATTTTGCACTGGATCATTTTTCTGTCTCGTGATTTTCGCCCGAGTAGTTTTTGTTTTTTTGATTTTGTTTTTGTGCATGCTGAATGATGCTCTTTTGATGTTGAGCGTAATTCTTCCTGCCGCGGACGTGACTGAATTATTGTCCCCCGTGTGCGAGTATAATCTCTCGTAGACCATCAATTTCCTTTTGAATAAAATGGGGATTTGATAGAGATATTCCCTTCAGCGAAGATGTTGATGCAAGTTCTCGTCTCTGATGTGCTCCCTGGCGAAGACGAGCCTGTCTCGGTCGGGTTGGATTTCTCGTCGTAAATCCGTGTCCGAAGAACTGAATCTCATCGTGGAGGTGTAATCAATTGTCGATCGGGGCCGCTTCTTATTTTCCCTCAGCCCGAGGCGGTTTTCCCCGCGAAAACGCGTCTAATATCTGGCTCGAAGGTACATCTGACCCTTTTTCATGATCATCACGCTTCTTCAACAGACGAGTCTTTATATATAGAGAAGAAGACGGAGAAACAAAAATAGGATCATAGGTTTATTTATTTATTTTTTTTGAGTTCAAGGAATTTTTCCTTCATTCCTCTGCTCAGAGCGTTTCATTGTTTCATCCGTGGGGGTGAAGAAAACAATGCTCTATTTCCTAGCGTGATTCCAGTCGGAGATCCGTAATCGGTTCCGCCTTTGTTTCGTCCTAATCAAAGTACAGCAGGAGCGAACCGGGTTAAATCCTGGATACACCTGATCGCGATGACCAAGTTGCAGCGGATTCTTATGCTGGAAAATCTACAAACAAAGTATCGTTTTTTATGCGGAACGAAGTAAAATTCAGAGGTACAGGTGAACTCTCTCGTCTGCAACAAAATGTAAGGGAACAAATAAAGAATCCTTGTTGAGAAGTTGGAGACATACCCATTGAAAATGTGGGAGAAAGCGCTTTTGGGATCAAAAATAAATTCGTTATACAGAAAAAGTTGTTTTAGAAAATCTAAATCTTTCTATTTTATTTATTGTGTTAGAATATATTGTTATCTATCTATTGTTTTAGAAAATCTAAATCCTATCTTTTCAGAGAGACTCCACCTAGAGCTTCAATTAATCAGTAAAGTTTAACTTTGGGGATGATTTAACCCTGACTTATGGGTGATTCAACTTGGAAAGTCTTATTGAAACTGAGAAAATCTGCCCAGAATCCGGGAAATGTCTCGAGATATGCACACTTTTCCGAAATTTCTTGAAAAACGGAATGTTTTCATTTTTTTCTGCATTCTGGTGTCTCCTGACGAAACAAAGCTTTTCATATTTTAAAAAGTAAAAAATTTAGTAGATTAAAAAATTAATCTAAAAAACCACATTTTCAAAAAGCAAAAAATAACCTTAAATGTGGTGCGCATCTATTTCATAGAAAGTTTCAGCTTGCTAGCTAGTCGAGAAGTGAGCAAAATTTGAGTTGCAAAATTTGATCCAGACAAACAAACGGACAAGAAAGCAAGTTAATAAAAACGTGTTAAAATGAATCTCATTATTCCATTACTCCAATTCATAATCAAGAACAGGCCAATGCATGTTTATATTTTCAGAGTTTTTCTTTTGCATCGTGTGCGAAGTATAAGCATGAGTTGTTCTTGTTCTTTGATTCTTGAGCTCCTTCTGATGCCTGAAGATGAGATTCTGCGTGGTTTTATTCTGCACCGATAATTTTTTCATAAGTTACAAACAATTTTCATTGCATTTTTTGGGGATTTTTATTCTCAATTTTTATGCACAGGAGAAACAATTAAATATACAGTATTTCCGATTGAAGTCTGTGGGAAAACGTTGGGCAAAATGCGGACATTCCGACAGAGGTGCAATATACAAGCACTAATCACGTCCGCATCTCGGGGTCCCACTGTAACTGAACTCAGCTTCTCGTTTTTTTTTCTCTCTCTGTGTGGCCTGGGGAGCCCTTCGAGGGGCTCCGCGTGCTGAGAATAGAGAATTTCAGGAGATTAAAAAAGTGTCCCTTTGTTTAGGCCGCAGGTCAGGGCAATTCCAGAATGCAGTTATACTGTTGCTCTCTCTCTCTCATGTGTAGCTATTAAGGCTTTAAATTTGAGAAAATAAAATCGAAGAGCCCGAGAGGAAGCCTGGAATAAATTCCTGCCATCGGCGAAGGGGAGGCTTTTCTTTTTATCCCGGGTTTTCATTTCATTTTTCGGCACCTGTGATGGCGGGACTAGGAAACGTCATAATTTCGTTGCCGAGAGGCCGCTATATATAGCTTCGCCGAACTTTTCCTCGGGGCTGCTCTGGGGACAAAGTTTTCGAATAAAATATTCGGGATGCGATTCGATTTTTACGGCTGGTCGTGCCTCAGGGGGAGGGTTGTACGGCCTATTAAATGCTGCAGCAGAAATTTTTCCTGATGGTGGTCCCCTGCGGCGATTGCTGTGCTCTTCATCCAGGCTCCTTCTCCTCAGTTTCTTTTTTTTTTATCTCGCCTGTTCCTGTATTGCTTCCTGATTTAGCGTTTACACCGGCACTCTCTACTCTGAGTGTCCATTCAGTCGTTCCGAAATGTGTCCATTCATCACGGGTTATACTAGCTTTTTCTTTTTTTGACTCACGTCCGAGCTTCCAGCGCAATTTCAGAGTCCAGCTAAAAAAAATGCAATTTTAAAGGCCCATTACATATATGTTTAAAGGTGGACTCTCTGAAGGACAAAAATACACCCATAATAGGTGACCATATGAGGAGAAATCCCTTTATGGGCCAACAAAAAAAGCGTTAAGCGGCGAAAATTTCTGTAATAAGATCGTTGTAGTACACTATACAGTCCACCTGTACTTAATTTTTTCAAAGGCTGCTCCAATAAGTTTGGTTCATGGAATTGTTACTCTGCTTTTCCTGATTTTTCCAATGTCTTTTATATCTGTGAAAATTTGTCATTTGTTTGATTAGGATGTTGATTGTCATTTTTTTATGCGGTCTGCAAAAATTCCACTTTGATTTATGTTAATGTCGAATATTTTTTTAGCTGCCTTACATCAGTGATCATGTCCTGTACTCATTTGTCTATCTATATCTTGGGAATAATGGATGGGTTTCATCATACGGTTTTAGTTTTGGCTGAGTCCAACTCAGTAAGACTTTAGGTTAGCTCAATAGTACCACAATATACCGTATTTCCCTGAGTACCACACATCCTCAAGTAAGGTGAGCACAGGGGTTTTTCAGTCGGAAATTTGGCTAAAATCGTATACTCAAGTAAGACGCGCACCCCAATTTCTAGTGAATCTAAAGCCACCAAATTTTGAAAACAAATTCAAAAAATTTGACTTTAGACATGAATTGAACAAAAATTGGATCAATTTTCAACTTTTTCAGTACAAAAAGTTTTATTGTTACATTTGTTCAAAATCTCTCCATTATAATTAAGTATAATGCACACATAACTTCCAAAGTTTTCTTTCTTGTTACATTTTTCCCAAGTTTCTCCATTATAATTAAATAGCACACATAACTTCCTAAAACTTCTTGAAAAATTTGTACCCACTTATGGCGCGCACCCCTTTTTTTCTTCTGAAATTTGAGAAAAAAGTTGCACATGATACTTGAGTAAATATGATAGATGAGGAAAGTTGCTTGAGCTGTAAATTTGTAGATTTCAACGTTATGTTCTAGCAACTTTGTGTTTGAATAGGGTAGGTTTAAGTTGTCAATTGATTGTGTCTGTATTTGTTCAAAGGTAATACGAAGCGAGAAAAAAATTGATGGCCAGGCGACATTTATAAAAAAGAGAGGGGAAACCATAGTTTTTGAATACTGTATAGTATAGTGGTTGTTTCTTTTATGCTTCCTCTCTGAAGAAAACATTCACATTCACAGCTGGGAAAACTTAACGCAGTAGGTGGATAACTTTTCCGTTTTCGCAGCGCAGGCTTATCGGGACTTCCAAGAGGGAAATTAAATCGAGTAAACAATCAATTTATCCCTGGTTGAGGACGTACAAAGGAAACTCTGTTGTGAACGCCACACGATGAAGAGTCGTGTGCCAAGTGGCGTCATTGCCTGCGTGTTGATGTTTTATGCATGACTTACCAAGGGGCTAATTAACTGCATGACAAATGCGTATTCATCTGAGGCTCGTGGCGTGCGACTCCGTTCGTTCCGAACACCTCATGACAACGCTGAATACGCCAGAGTTTCCGGGATTTTCTTTTTTTTTTTTACAATTTTGAAGGGATTTCACTGGAAAAGGATTTCAGTGCTCTTCAGAAATGAGCCTGTGTATTAGACAAGCTTGGCTTGATGCTCACTTTAGAATTTCCTGAGGATGAAGATGCAAATTTGTGAGCCTTGAACCAATTTGAAACACTATGCAATAAATTCGCATTACAGCAAACTCACAGAGTTCAGAAAATTGTATACTGAATAGCTTGTTAAATGAAATTTCAAAATTTTAATGACTGGAAAAATAGTTTCACGTCAGACCTACCTTTATAACTGATTAGATCATGTTTTTTCTCTGGAATCCCAAGATTGTTCAATAATATTTGCAAAACTGGGTGATCTTCTGAAAGAAAAATTAGCTTCAATAATGCATTCCATCAGCTGCACCAACCTCTTCATGCTGGGAAGACATGTGAACCATTTGGAAGCTTTCATAATTGCTGCAAGAGCCAACCATTGGAAATATCAGACTATTCCTGAATTGGTCAGGGAATTTTTTACCTGAACAATCTATTGAACATTCCTCAAAAAGTTTGTCATACAAGAGGTACGTTGCAATTCAACCTCCCACAATGCATCCATCCTGCAATTATATCAAATTTGCTAGGAAGTCACCTTGCAATTTGACCTGCAGAGAGATGCAAAACATCAACTGGAATTTGGAAAACATTGCATCTGAGATAGTCTCCCAATTTGACCATGTTACAACCCAAGACCAGCCATGGAGTAGGATCAAATTGCAGGGTATCACATGTGTACTGGAATTGGAAAGTTTGCTTGCTATCTAGTAGAATCTGAATATATAATATTATAACAGTCCCATTATAATAAATTTTTGATCAAAATTCACTTTTTGGGGTCTCTGCGTAATAACCATAATGTTGGAAGTTCTTTCTTTTTATTTTTACAATGAACCTGTTTTACTGGTCCCAAGCTCTCAACATATTCATTCTAATGAGATTTTACTCTAAAGAGATTGCTTTTACATATGTAATCTGTGGGCTTTTTGCTGGAACAGGAGAAAATGTTTGTTACATTGAATAATCAGTTACAACAGTACATGTTGTAAAAAGATGTTACTTTATATTTAGGAATGTGCTTTTAAAAATGCCCATCAATTTATATTTTTGGAATGCTGCGCTTTGATGCCTGATATTTCAATGCAACAACAGTCATGAAACAGCTGTGATACGGCTCCTCAGAAGTAAATCGCGGAAATTTCAGGACACGTTCCTGAAAAAAGTAACCTTGGTTCGCAACAATGGTGAGCCTGAATGTTGCCTATATACATTACAGCACAGCATACTGTACTGTACAGTATAAGGTATATTCTCGCTTTAGCTTCGGATCCCCGGGAATAAACAAGACTGGCCCAAACCGAAGCCTTTTCTCCTCGCCGTCTTTCCCAACAGAAATGAAACCGAGAAAATTAGTGTTACGGCCGCTATATTTCTTCTTCATCCTCTTCTCGGAAAGACCGCCGGACGCGAAGGTACGAAATAAAAATTGCGAACCTTCGGATGCGCCGGGTAAATCGAAAGTTTTTTATTTTATTTTTATTTGCCGCGAAAAGTTCAAATCGTTTCCCGAACGAAGCGAACGATAGCATTTTGTTACAGCATTTAAATCTCGTAAACTTTTTGACTTTAAATTCTAGAAGAAGGTAGATTGGTGAATTTTTTTTTCTAGTTCATACGAGTCTAAAAATAATCTGTCTTCGCTAAAAACTGAAGTGCAGAAAATGACGACGTTTTCCACGCTTGGAGCCGTTTCAAAACGGATTTGGTTCGAGGATTTTGAAGCTATTGCATCCGTCTCGAAGAAAAAAAAAATATATATTTATTTCGAAGGTCTTCCAGCAAGTATTATTATTGGAAACCCTGCCTTTTCTAGACCTATGATGACCCTTCATTACGATTTCAACGCAGGTTCTTCAAAATAATTTGTGTTTAATGACCAATAACTGTATTGAACTTCGCTTTTCTAAATAAATAAACAAATGAATAGTTGAAGGAAACGAACTTGGTGAGTGCCCCTCTCTCTCTCTCTCTCGCTCTTTCTGCTTCCAAAGGGGGGGTCGCGTGAAATATCGCCAGGTAGGCAAATTGAAACAAGCTGCTTTGTTCTCAGCCTCCCTGGTCGGTGTTTCGTGGCCATTTTTCTTCACCTTGCCGACGACATGGGCCTTGGCATTGCATTTTGCGGGGTTCCGGCGAGGGATTATAGCCAGCTCGTTTATGGGTTCTCTCCTCCCCCCGGAGAACGAATGAAACCAACTTCTGAGCAGCGCAATTAACGCTGGCTACAAAAATCCTATGGCTGGTCGGTTATTTCCCTGGCGAAAGCCTTCGTTTCGGTTCAACGACCCGAATTTCGCCTAATCATCCCGACCTACATAGTATATGCCTTATTACTGCTCGGAACTCAAAGAAGTGTGGTGAAATGACATGATTGAAGGGAGAAACTCCAGGAAGGCCCGAAGACCGAGTATTTTATAAAATGACTACTGTACTTTTCTTCGTTTGCAAGCTTAATTTTTTTTTTTAGATATCCCGGTGGAGGATTTTCGAGGATTAGACGCACTTTTTTGGCTTGAAAATCCAATCCGTTGTTCGAGGGCGCTGCTTTTTCTTTGTCGTAATATGCTGTGCACTCTTGAAAATGGTTCAGTTAATTTGAGGTTCTTCGTCGAACTTAACTTTCCGGTTCAGGAAACGAAAATTTTGTCCTGACACTCCTGAGGTCTACTGCTGGAATTGGTTTCAGAAGCACACTAAAACAGCTGAAACTCGTGGACGATGGACTAGCACTTTTTAGTAACGAAGACACAGCCATGAAAAAGATGGAACGATTGCGGCTAAAGTCTAAACGCCTTTGATTTTCAAACTGGATCACTCATATTATTATCCGGAAAAATGAAATACAATTCACTCATTGTTTTAAAATTTCTTTAGGTTCTTCTCTGTTCTGCCTCATTTTAATATTCAAACTTTAAAGCTGGATGGTTAAAAATGCGACACTACTTGAGCAGAAATTCGCTATGAAACGCGTGGCGAAGCAGGCTTGATGGTTCAAGCATTTTCGGATTGAATCAACTTCAACAGTTTTCGAAAATATTGCAAATAGCGTTTTATTCCAGACTGAATCTTAGTCAATTAACTACAGAAATTTGCTTCGATTTTTTAAATGAAAAAGTGTTTGGCCTTGTCCTGCATATTTATGAGTATTCAATATAAGAAATGTTTTTGAATGTTGGAAATAAATTAGCCCAAAAAATGATAATTCTGGCAATGGTTTTTTAAAATTTTCTGTCACGATCGCTCAACTCCGGAACATTTTCAAGTCTTAAAAATCTTTGGAAGACTTCGAAATTTTATAATTTTATCGCGATGAATGAGAAATTTCAAATATTTAAAATATCGCATGCATTTCTTTCAGTTTTAGCTATGAGTTTGTCGAATCAAACAGTGCTTCAAAAGCGGTGCACAGAGCTAGTAGAAATATGCAGGCTTTTGTATGAAGACCAAGCTTAGAAAGTAGATTATAAATTGTTGCAGGTGCTTCATTTTTAAATCGTGAAATTTTGGAAACTACAATTTAAAAAAAAAATCCGGGAGTGTCAACATCGCGTGACTGACTCAGCTATATAGCGGGTGTTTCGTGTCACATGGATACGCTACATAAGCATATTCTTATGCTCTATTTTTATACCTTGGTTGTCCAGGGATTTCGAAGGAAGGAGTCTTTTCCATCTCCGTTCCGAGTTCGTTTTTTTTTCTTTCCTTTTCCGTGACACGTATAATAACGGCAGTTTTCGTGTCAGATCCTTATTGCCCTCTCGTCTGCAGACGGACGAATGAGGTCCTAAGTATAGAGGGTGGAACATTCGGAATGCGGTTCATTAAGTCCCCACTCACTCGCGAATTTCTCCGAGTTTTTCCTCTGGAAAGTCATCTCGAGTTTGTCAAGTATACACAAGCAGCAACTATAACTAAGGTATCACTCCGCTGATGTGTCAGACCGCGAAGTGCGGCGAATTTTTTGCGTTTAGATTTTATTTTGTTCTTTCTATTTTTTTTCTTTTTCAGGTGGCCACAGGGGCTTTTTTCTTCGAGGTTACATTCGAACTGTGCGTGATTCAGGCGTGGGAAATTCTCGCTGTGTAATCCACTGGCACATCGTGGGAATTGTGAGTCATTTTCTCTCTTGTTTTTATTGCGAGGGTCACACGTAGGTGCACTTCTGGCGAGGGAACACTTGAAATTTTCTGTCCTGATTGCTGGTCGTGGAACACATCATAGAGCAGCGTTATTGGCATTATTCTTCTCTCTCTGTGAGTCAAGAAAGTGCCATTTTGTTGTGCCTAATCAAGCCCTCTGAATGTGTCCGGAAATGAATGTTTGGGGAAATTTGGAAAAACACGACGCGCTGTTTTCAGGGTTTCCCTCTTTGACGAGGAAAGGTACCAGCAGGGGTGGAATTCCTGAATCATTGAAAATCTCGAAAGAAAAAAAGTGGATTATCATCAAAAGTGATCTCGGCAACGATCCATGCTCATTATTGCGGTATTTTCAAGAAAGATTCAAGTACCTTAGTCAGTTTATAATGGGCATAATTTTTGTATCGCTGAATAAGTGCAAAATATCTCATTGAAATATAGGCATGAAGTTCCGTCACAACGTTATTGTAATTAGGTCATCAATTTTTCCAAAAATTCCCCTAATTTATGAGCATTGGAAATAGAGTGCACTTAATGGACTCGTGTCGAAACAGATAGCTTATGTTCACATTAGAGCTCTGTTCTAGGGAGGTGAGAAAAATTAAACACATGCATAATTCAAACGTTATTATCTGAAGAAAATCTCAACAAAATTTTTCATTCTGATTAATCGAGAAGATTCTTTATTTTCGGTGAGAAAAAATATTTTTGGGATAAAGCCACGAACCAGTGCAGATTGAAAACATGATCACCTTTTTTTAGCTACATGTCCCAATTAATAAGATTGCAATCAGCATAGAGTTAATTTGACGCAGTATTGTTGAACATAGTACATCATGTCTTATGAAATTATTGGTTCCTATTCATAGAATTGAAGAAACGGGACGTTTAAATTCGTAGCGAAAAAATATCTAGATTTTCAGTCGCTGTCATAGAACTGACAAGGATTTTCTTCCATAAATTTTGAAATGCGTGATTTTTTTTCTTCTTATTCCCCGAAACGGTTGAGCAATAACTTAGTGAAGTCCCCCTTTTTTGCAGCCTGATGGCCTGGGACTTTGTTTGCGCCTTGGTGACATAATATGCGAAACAGTTCTCTGTGTGGCTTCCAAATTAGGGGGCAAAGGGAAAAAAATCGTGGACGACGGGTTGAAAAAAGAAGTTTAAGTGCGTGCGAAGCCCGGATTTTTCACGCGTTTTTCCTTTTCAAGAACACTCGCCGACTGGGTGCCATTATTGCTTTGGAGAACTCGAGAGAAAATTTCCGGGCAGGGTTTTTTTTTGTTTAAATATTTTTCCCTTTTTTGAAAAATATAAAAAAGTCGACTCTAGTCATTTCTGACTGCTGGTAGCGTGAGTCGGAATGAAATTTTAGAAGATTTCAACACTTGTTCATTCATTAATCCTCACGTGTCGTCGTCCAACTTTCCCTGTTGAGATGATTAATCGTAGAAAAAGATTTATTTTCTTCCATTTCTCGTGACTGATGAAATTTAGTCAGTCGCAGTTGGAGTATTTCTTGGATTTCCCCGAAAATATTTTTACAAAAAGCAAAGTTCGTTTACATTATTCTCGTCAATTTAACCTTGAAAAACATTCGAACAGAGGGGTCCAATAAGTTCTAGCCCAATTTTCAGCTCAGTGATATAAAAAAATTGATGCTACTGGGATGAAGGCTGAAGGAATTACAATCGATGGTTCGTGAACAAACGGAAATGTTGATCTTCGATTCGATTATTTTGACTACGAGTACTGTATATGGAAGGCGATAAAAATCGCACCAGCGATCATTTCGAAAATTGCAGTGGTTCCTATATGGGGTCAAGGATTTATTTTAAACTTTTTTTCAGAATTCTAGAAAATTGTACGACTGAACAAATCCGGTTATTTTCCTATGCGCTCACTTTCTTGTGTTGATAATTTACGGATCAAATTTCGTTTCAGTGAATACCGTTTTCACGAATTTTTCTTTGAAGCAATATTCTCCTTATAACGATATATCGTCAAAATTTCATTCCCACACAGTACGGTATTTCTTCTCGTTGATGTATTTTAATTCATGATTTTCTGAAATTTTTCGTAGACTTCCGGGAATAAACGAACGAATTTTGAATTTAGAACTTTTTGTATTTCTGCTGAGATAAATGCAAAATTTTGCTGGAAAACGTTGTAAATTTCTTGATTTTTGTTGATTTGTGAGAAAAACATTTCTGTATACTTGAAATTAATCTCTGATTTCTTACTTAAAATGTTCGAATCTTCGTAAAATATCCTCTATACAACGTAAGTATTGCTATAGCGATTCTTCGGTCACTGGAAGTTCTTTGTATTTGATGATATTTGATGGATACGTTGTACTTACGCGAATACCCTGATGTACGGACTTCTTCCTTGGAAGCTCTTTGAAACAAGATTCGACTGGATCGTAGGGTTTCAAGGGTGTGTCTATTTCAATAACAGACGATCTTCGGATGTCAAATTCATCGCAGCAACCCTGAAGATATTGATGGATCACTTTCACATCTGTTCCTCTTGTAGTCTCATGTGTAGTATGAGTATACAACAGTGGACCCTCAATTTAAAAAAAAAAACTGCGTGTTTAACAAAATTTTGGTTCAACAAAAACTTCGGATCTGCGGAAAGATATCTCACTTGAAAAACTTTTTCTGGGGGAAATTTCAGAGTTTAAAAATTCAAAATATAATTTTATAAGGCTAAAATGAACAGCGCATTCTAAGAGAAAATAATTCAACTGTGTATACCAGACTGAAAATTCTTCCATTCTGGCAATTTAAACTGTGTAATATTGTGTTTTTTTCAAATACATTATTCATATTTGCATTTCTGCGATGAAATGATTTGCATTTCTGTGCTTGGTTTTTTCTAGTTGTTCAATTGTTAGAAAGCTCTAATTTATCTTCGCTTGAAAGCATAAAAAAGGAATTTTAATTTTCACCTGACATGTATCTTACAGTGATGTATGTTCTTTTCATGTGAAGCTTTTTAATTCTTGTTTTCATCAGTGCTACTTCCATATGACACTGTAAAAACATTCCGGGCTCATATAAGATGCAGCAAAAACGTATGCTGATAATAGTATTAGGCCTTGAAATTTTCTTTATATTTAATATTCAATTGTCTTTAGGGTTCACAGAATGGATTATATTCTTCCCCATGGAATTCTAAAGGAAAGTATAATTTGGTTTGTCCGGAACATATTTAAGTTAATCAACTGAGGGTCCAGCCCTGCCGTACAGGTGTATATAAGTTTGCTTTCTTTTCGCTGAGTTGGTCGCAATATGCACTGCTGCTGCACTGCACTTTGGAGGCAACCCCGGCGGTAACAGGAGCCTATTAATAATGGCGACTAATGGGAGGCTGTTATTGCCGGACACTCGGGGGCCTTTTGTCAGGTTCAAGCACCTGATGCACGAGTGGACGACGACGAGTGGGGGACTGGGGAGACGCGCGTTGATGAGACTAGTGCAGCAGCAGGATTCCACCGCACTTCCTGCCGGTCAGGTTAATGGAGAAAACCTGTAGAAAATCCCGTGGATTCCGCGTGTTTTCAGTCATCAGAGAGAGACAAGGGTGTTTTCCAGGTCTTTGCCCCCATCACGCCTATATTGGGGGGAGGGGAAGTCCGTTGCGAGGAGTTCATCACCCGGAAAAGGAAAAAAAACTTTAAAAGCAATGTCTTGACGAAGCCATAATCGAAGGAAATGTGAACGTTGTCGTGATTGAAACGAATTTACTGTAAGATTATGTTTTTTTTTTCAATGCATCCTGAAAAGGTACAGTTTAGTCTGGAAAACTCGAAACTCGTCAAGTCAAATTCCTCTTTGACTAGAACTGTTTTCCCCAAGTCCCAGTCTGAATTTCTTTAAAAACATAGCATTAAAAAACCTCCCTAACGCAAAAGCTTCCCTCATCAGACCTTCATAATTGGAATTGTCTGAAGGCTTTTTGGCTGTTATTTCATTGACACAGGGTAGGCAAAAGAAATAAAAAGGTATCTTGATGCATTTTGAAACAATGGAAAATGCTAATAATAAGGCAAATAAACCCTTCCCTCTTAGTTCGGCATTCTGTTTACTCATTTAAGAAGCAATTAAAGGCTCAGAATATTACCAATAACAATTCCCTGTAAATCCTCCTTCCACTTTAATTCAGTTCTATGCAGTTATTCACAAACATAGCCTTGAAGAATTTTTCAAGATTCTTACAGATTTTAAATTCATCTTTGAATATAAATTCTGTATGGCGCCTTCTGCCACCTTGATAGTTGAAGAGAACAAGCCGCAGGACAGATGAAGCATCTCTTGCATACTGTATCTGGCCCGTGGGCCATAAGTTGGGCTGCACAGATCCAAGAGGTTTAACTGTTGGACTACAGAGGGTTCCTGGCCATCCTGTGGCAAATCTGAGATTTTTTTTTTGGGAGGTGGTGCATTTCTGTTTAACCCAAAGGTTACTGAAATGTGCCCAGGTTGGGAATGCTTAAGTTGGGAGAAAATCCAGGTTTGATGAATCTTTTTTTTATTTCAAAATCTTGAATGCTAATCCTATGCAAGAAATTCCTGAAAAAAAGTCACCTAGTGAGGATTTTTAGGCAATTATTTTCTACAGGGTTATAAAAAATATTTGGCTTTCTCCCAACTCAGACCTTGGTGCAAAAATCAATTTTTTTTAAATTGTCAGTGCTCATGGACACAACACTTTGCAAAAAGATCCTGACTTTTCTGCACAAGGGTTGAAGTGACCTGAGTTCAACACAGTACTGAAGATTGCACACCTTGATTAATGAATAACATCCAAAAGCAAGAAAAGGTCAGAAAGAACATTGTTCAAACAATGCTCAACTGAACCAACATATGGCCGGGATTAAACTGTGGGCCTCAATAACTATAGGCGTAAAAATGACCCAGAATTTTCTTGTCCTAGTCATGGAGCTGTAATCCGGTTCTCTCCATTCTCTTCAGGAGCCATATAAAGAACATCAAGCCCGCTTTTAATGGGCCTCCCAAAGTATTGCGCCTATAGCGAAACGCTTCTCGGGGACTGTAATTTGACCCCCTTTATCGGATTCTAAAAAATTCAGCTGCTTCAGGGTTTATATGGGAGAAAACGGTGGTGTTAAAATTGCTGCGAAGCTCGTTGCAGAAGGTCACAGCTCGTCAGAAAATTTTTTTTTTCAATTCAGTGGAACGTCTACATGCACGTCACATTGAAAGCGGACCATGAGAAAACTTAGCAAGTAGTTTATTTTTTTCGTTGGATAAACTGCGGAGTGTGGACTCATACAGGTTCTACCATATTTTCATTGTATGCTGGTCTGCAGTGTGGTCAGATTTCACCTCTGTGACCAAAAAAAAGCAGGATTTAATGAGCATTATGTTTACATTTATTGTCTGGACCTTAAACTGCTGGGTGTGAATGAGTTGGAAAGCTGCTGATAAACTGGAGACAGCAAGGAGACATGCCCTCAAGGAGTCACTCACTTTCTTTCTGAAAGCTTGACACGCACCTTTTTATGGAAAAAAATGAGGCACAAACGTGGGGTGCGCATGGTATGTGATGTCGTTAAATGATTTTATTAGAAAATAATCTTGAAGCCACTGCTGCCAGTCAAAATTAAATGTCTATGCACTCTATAGATTATGAGACAATAGAAAATACTTTGAGCACCACTATGCTATGTTTATGCTGTATGTTACTACAACCTAACCAAATTCTCTTCACTGCAAATATTGAACCACTTCCCCCATAAGGATCCCCCCAGCCTCAGAACCCACTTGAACCTTGCAGGAGCAACAACTCTTGCGGGGACTCACCCCTTGCGGAGGGTGGCAAGAACAAATGACTGAGAAGTACAAATGTGTACCAGTGTTCTTCATGCCAACCTTTCATGAATGAAACAAATATTAAAGAATTGATCATATTGTATATTACACAGGAAAACAAAGATAAAATGAGTGAAACATTTACAGAAATACATCATGTCAGTGATGACAAGAATTCAAATGACACGACCAATGAACAAGGCAAGTTACAAAAGTATAAAACTTGATACAAAAAATTTTAATACAAATCCCTATCAAATATAGATATGATAGAGGATCCCATCCTAAGCGAACAATTGGAGAAGCTTATGGATTGAGCGCTGTTGCGCAATTTACCTCAAGATGAGGAAAATGTTGCTGTTGGTGCATAGGAAGGTGACCACGCATTGGCCCATTTTTTACCAGCATTACAAGATTGGGAACCGATTTGTACTCTGGGAGCAATTGCTAAGCAAGTTGTGGAAAAAATATATAAAAATGCAATGGCCTCATGCGACAAAAAAGACATAGTGGCGGATTAAAATAAAATACTGCCACCGGTCGGAAATACCATAGTGGGAAATGTGCCAAGAATTAACCACCCACTATGGAATACACTCTCAAAAATGTCCCGGAGTGTAGACGCGACACTGCAAAAAATTCAAAATATGCTGATGTGTGTAAATAGTGGCATAGTGAAAGTGTTCATCAATGAAGGTCTGCCGGAAGCATTGAGAGATACAATGGGCAATACTCTAAAAGCCCTTGCAGTGTCATATATGATGCTGCAGGAAGAATGGAAAAAGAATGTGCGCAACAATGCAAATGAAAACATGCGTGCCACATTTCAAAACAATAGGATCCCAACCCAGGCTTTTGGTGAAAGCTGGGTCAATCTGTTGGACGGGGATCTTGTCAAAGAAATTGACCAACTGGTCAAAGCAGATCAGGCACTGAAACCTGGAAGTACAAGACAAAATTGGAGAGGAAAATCTCCAAGTATCAGAGGTGGTCATAGTTACAGATCCAGACCATACCCGAGGCCTCAACCCCAAAATTGATATCAGAATCATTTTTTAGGGGAGGGCCAGCAAAACAAATTTTGGCGTCAGAACAAGGAAACGTCCAGAACACCTTCAGGGGAAGGTCCACCTGGAGAGGCAGAAGGAACTAAAGGTCAGTTTTGTACCCAATAATATCATTGGAGGAAGATTACAATTCCACATTAATATCTGGAGAGAAGAAATAACGCAAGATCCGTGGATCCTTCAATTGATTTTGGGCATGAAAATTGATTTTGAAAAAATACCAGATAACAAATTATCTAGATATAACCCTCCAATTAAAACAATTGAGGAGAAACATGCAACACAAACACTAGTGCAAGATCTAGAAAAATACAAAGTCATCCAACAAACAAAATGGCATGAAGGGTTAGTAATTAACCCAATTTTCCCAGTGAAAAATCACAATGGAATGTACCGCCTAATACTTAACAGCAAGGCGGTAAACACAGAGTGTGTACCATACAAACACTTTAAAATGGAGAATTTAATTTTGGTTATTTACAAGGAATTAACAGAGGAGATCTAATGACATCTCTAGACTTAAAGAAGGGGTATCATAATGTTGCGTTACATCCCGATCATCAGAGGTTTTTTGCTTTCACATGGGAGAAAAGGCATTACATTTTTAAAGCACTCCCAATGGGGCTGAGAGAAGCGCCCAGGCTGTTTACTATTATAATGAAGGCAATCCTCAAAGTAGCCAGGGAACAAGGAATACATGTACACGCATACATAGATGATACCCTTATAGTGGCATCTACTGTTGAACAATGCCATAAAAATACTAAAAAGTTTCATCAATTACTCTTGAATGCGGGGTTTCTAATAAATGAAGAAAAATCCCATTTTCAACCAAGTACAAGACAAAACATCTCGGATTTATTGTAGACAGCAATGATTTATGCCTGGAACTTCCAGAGAAAAAATTTAACAGATTGAAAGCAAACATCACCAAATTGCAGAAAATCCATGACACAGGAGAAAGTATGCCTCAGAAAATTTGCACAAATTGCTGGATTCATACTAAGCTGCTTACCAGCAATAACGTATGGGCACGCCCACTTCAGATACCTAGAAAGGGTTAAGGCAGATCTCCCACAACCAATTGCAGACTGGGAACAACCTATATATCTAAACCAGAGTGTCCTTGAAGAACTGAAATGGTGGGAAAAATTAGATCCCCGTGCAAAAAGTCATTTGAGGAAAATTGGTGACACACAGGATAACCACAGATGCATCCACCTCAGGTGGATGGGGAGCAATTCTAGGGAGCCACAAAATATCAGGCACCTGGAAAGTAACAAATGAGGCAGCCATAGACCTACTAGAGCTCCAAACAGTATGAATTGCATTAGAAAATTTCCAAGCCAAGGGAATAAATTTCTTAGGAGCAAATATTGTCTTAAAAATAAACAACACAACGGCTGTCACATATATAAATAAGGGAGGCGGCATGGTTAAGAGACTGCATGACGAGACAGTGAAACTTTGGGAATTTCTAGAGGCTCAACAGGCATGGGCAAAAGCCATCTATATACCAACCACAGACAATCCTGCAGATGCGCTGACGCGAATAATCACTCGGAAACAAGCAAGCAAACTAGATGCTGAATGGAAACTCAAAGACATTCATTTTCAGAAGATCTCTAAAGAGTTCCAGCTAATGCCAGAAATAGATTGGTTTGCTACAAAAAATAATAGACAAATAGATAGCTATTGTTCATGGTATTTTGAAAAGAATGCAATCTTTACAGACCCTTTCCTACAAGATTGGTCTCTTAATGTTGGATACTTTTTTCCTCCCTTTGGTCTACTAAGCAGAGTACTCAGCAAGATCCAGCAAGAGAAAGCAACAGCAATCCTTGTGCATTCAATGTGGCCATCCCAGCCATGGTGGCCAGCACTCATGTAAGCCAGGTCAAGAACAATAACATTAGCAAACATGGCAAACGCAATCTTCCTGACAGAAATCCCAACTGCTTGCCATCATTTGAGGAAAGTCCAATTACAGGCGTCTCTTATTCTACCTGCAAACTAGATGAAATTGTACAAGAAACTATCAAAGCAGCAAGAGCGGAAACAATGCAAAAACAATATCAAAATATTGTCAGTAGATTTCAAAAATTCATCCACAACAATGGCAAAAATGTGCAAACCATCAACTTCAATACTGTGTTGAGATTCTTGGCAAACTTTACAGCAATCCCACAACAATTTTCTTATAGCTATATTCGCCTTATAAAAACGGCAATTGTACAGTGGCTTATGGAAAACAACAGGGATACCATCATCAATCAAAACACCCTAGATCAATTCATGAAGGGTGCACAAAGAACAACAAGAACCTTTGAGAAAAAAGACGCCATATGGGATGCTGAAACCAAGCTAAAGAATATACAAAAAATACCATATCCAGAATCCATCCTGGATCAAGCCCAAGAAACAGTGATTATCCTAGTGCTTGCAACTGGACTAAGAGTGGATAACATTTCAAAATCAGGAAAAAACATCAGGAAAGAGGGTCAGGATTTATTTATAACTTTCCTTGAAATCCAGAAAACATCTTTGGCATCCAAAAGAACAAAAGCTGGCATAACTGTGGCACTGTATAGCCAAGATCAAAGAATTTGTCCAATCAATCTGGTGGAGAGATACATAAACTCTACGCAATTTTTGGAAAGATCAGAATTCCTATTTGTCAGAGCTGATAATGGACAAGGAGTGAAAAAAGCCACATTAAGACATTAGCTCATAAAGATCCTGGACAAAATGAATATACAAGATATGCCAGGCTCGACACAAGCAGCAGCAGCAACATCTGCATGGGCAAAAAACAGATCTTTTGATTCAATAGCCAAACTGACTGGCTGGAAACAAGAATCTACTTTCCAAAAACATTATAATTGGAAATTGTTGGAAGAAGGTCTAAATCTCATGGAAGTCCCAACCCCAAACAGCAGATGCGCACGACGCACCCCTGTTCAAACAGGGACAGGAAGCACTCCAAAAATAGATCCCAAAAAGCTTTTCAAAAACAATCCTTCTAGTAAAGGCAAGGAAGCACAGGGGGGAGTCAGGAAGCGCAAATACATGAAAAAACCAAAACAAAGTGTGCCTGAAGAGGCAATTGCGTGCCAAACTCGCAAACGTATGTCGAATTGCACAGCTGTTACTGTTGAGTGAGTGCCATAAAACAGCAATGCGACGTGTATATATGTTGAAATCAACACGTTTTATGACTTTTTTCTGGCGACAATGTGAAAAGTGTACAGTGCAATTTGCAAAAAGCAATAAACTTGTACAAAATGCTTAACGTCTTTCATTAATATCCTGGGAACAGACCTTGTATCCAATTCTCAAGATTT